TTAGTTCTTGTTCTGTGCCCTCAATATAAGAATTTGGATATGGTGTGTTGTTATTGCGAGTGTCACGGAATACTCAGCAGAGCCACAAGGCTTTATGAAAGTAGGTTTGGTGATTTATTGGGAAGTTATAGAGAGAAAAATTAATAGGTACATCGGTCTCGTAAGTACTTTTGAATACCTGGTAATAAATTTCATTCTGACCCAAGTATTGAACTGCAATAAGTATTTCTTTTTGTTTAACTTTTGCCTATTTCCAATCGTGACAAAATTATTATTAACTTTTTAAGTTTTTCTCTGCTTAAGAGAAGATGACATTTGTGCTTATTATTTCAATTTCAATAAAGGCATCTAAGACGATTTTATTGTATTGTGTGGAATCAAACGAGTCAGGTGAGCTCTGTGTACGTACCTACTCACTCAACGGCTGGCGGGCGCGGTCGGCCGTTGACCCGCGGTGGAATTTTACTGTTTTTCCGTTTTTTAGAAGTGCTTATTTATTAGTTGTTTTTCACTGGATATGTAAGCATGTTTGTTTAATATGAATAACTACTCAAAAGGAGGAAAGGACAAAAAATACACAAATTGTAAATAAATACATGAAAAAAAATACTTCAAAAAAATCCGAAAAAAATCAGGCATACTCTATACTCGTAACCCAACAATCTCACGAAGTTTCATTAAAACATTCAATTTCACCCTATATATGTCCCTGGCCATTTATATCCGCCTTTTGATTCTCGATAGTACAAGAACTTTTTTTATTTTCAACCCATTTCTATATCTCTTCCGAAGTACCATAAACTCACAAAATTACAAAACTCACAGTTGGGCGCGGTGACTTGTTGTTTTTTCTCCCGGAAAAGAAAACTGCCCCAAAATCTATTTTGTGAAAAATAAACTTTTTTCCCGTCGGCTTATTTTCTTGGACGGAACGAACCAAGGACCTAGATATGCAAAATTGACTTGTAATTGCTTTTGAAGCTTCGAACTTTAATAAAAGCAGATTTCAATATGAAAATCCAAAACTTCCCACCGCGCTAGGGATGCACAGGGGGCGAACTGCTATCGATGGAAATATCGATGAGCTAATACTTACGTTTAGTACTGTGATTATTGATGGCACAGTGAGCTACGTTGGGCTTTTTCTTGTGAAGATTTAGTTTAATAACCAAAAACTACATTTAAGTAAACTTCCCTGATATGAAGCGTGCAGCTCTAAGAGAAGTTGTGGTCGTTAAATGTCAAGAATTGATATAATAAATAAAAAGCACACTAAATAACAAAAGGGGTATTTCTTCGAGATTCAGTACCTCACCAATATTGGGTCAACGTAGTTACTAATTAAATAAATCATTTATGCTACCGCGGTCCTCACGGACCGCGTCGAAATTCCTCTAGCCATTCTTAAGCTGCAAGGCAGCGCCATCTCTTCGCATTATAGGTAACGCACAATGTCAAATGAATACTTTTACAAGTATTAAACATTTGAAAGAAGAAATAGGAATTATAGTTATAATTTCTATTATTTTAAAGCCATTACTGCTTGATTTTTAAATCTAAAGAAAATATAACTAGAAAAAATTCCACGCGGACCAGGCAGCAGACGGGACTCGAACCCGCACCCTTCGCAATCCGGGCGAATGCACTGACCAATTATGCTACCGCGGCCCTCACGGACCGCGTCGAAATTCTTCTAGCCATTCTTAAGCTGCAAGGCAGCGCCATCTCTTCGCATTATAGGTAACCCACAATAAGTGCGGGTTAGAGTCCCGTCTGCTGCCTGGTCCGGGTGGAATTTTTTCTAGTTATATTTTCTTTAGATTTAAACATCAAGCAGTTATGGCTTTAAAATAATAGAAATTATAAATAAATCATTTTAAAACTTACTATTGATATTATCCAATTTATATTCAAAAGCTAATACTGTCTTAATAAATATGCTAATATGGTTTACTTCATTATGCCGCTTGCCTCTCAAGTACTAATTCAGCAGTAATATTCCTTTTGATATCAGCGGAACAATAGTGAGTGACAGAAAGCTAGCAGGCTGATTTGCAGAAGCTGAGTGGCTCTTGTCTTGTGTATTACTGAAAAGGCCTACAATCTCACCCCCATCATTAAACTAAAATTAGGTGTTGGTCTCTGCTTTGATTATTTCATAATTCAACCTTTCCTTATTCAACAATGTCATTATAGTATTTCTTATGTGCCAACATTATGTGAATCAAATGCTGTTGACCGATACTGTATTTTGTAAGTTAATTATTTGATTTTATATCATCAAGGTAAGTGAACTGTTAACAATAAAACAAAATAATGTTTTATTTGGTACCTACTAATATTTGTTATTTCACAAAATGTTAGATAAGTATTTTTTTTAAACGCAGTGAATATTCAGATAAATCAATATACGTACATCTGGAATTTTTTATCGATATTTTATTTATATCGATTAGTGATCATTACTAACTGATTTTCATCACTGTTCCATAATAATATTTTAAACTAGTTATTGTAAACTAGCTTTTAAATTATTTTTCTCAAACATGCTTAAAAATTGAAGCATTATATTGACAACCTTCTTTAAGATAAATCCAAATTGCTGTACAAGCCACATACATGCAATCAGCGGCTGGCAATATGTGTATAAAAATCCATATAAGTCGCGTTTAGCGGCCAAATAAATTACATAGAAAACTCATAATATCAGTCGTGTAATTTAAAAATGGAACGATCTTTTTTTTTCTATATGGCTTCGCACGGTTTGTGCATTTAGCCAATGTCAAGTGTAAAATGTTTACATATTCTATAGCACTCGTGGTCAAAATATTAGTCAAGTCAAAGTAAGTGACAGTCAAGTCAATCCCCCTTTCCCTATGTTTCCGTAAATGTGTGGGGATTTACTGGAACCTCCCCGTGGACTTCTTGAGGAAACATCGAAAGACACTTTTCGCTATTTTGTTTCACTTGCCAACACTTGTGCATGTTTCCGAACACTTAATGGTTAATAATCCACCATTATTAGACACTAACATCCGCCACAACACAATTGTTAACAAGAAAAACAAAACTGCTAAAGTGACGCTTCCCGATCCCGCCAAAAAGTCGAACGATCTTTTACTTTATTCCGAAAGAGGGCTATAGCGTATAAATCCGCCGCTAGAGGCGCTAGTGTAGTGTGAGGTCTCCGAAATGTCAAATGATATTGCTTGTTGGTTGACTACGCGGGTTTATTTCTTAATAAAATAATGTTGTGAATAATTGGTAACAATTCGGCTTAATTATGGCAAATATGAGTTATGTGGCAATGAATGTCAGTTATTAAAAATTTGAGCTTAGAAAAATGATTATGTTCCCATTTTTTCCGAATAAAACGGAACTGGGCGTCACTGTGGCATGGCCTATTATGTTTAGGATATGGTTCTTTTGTGTAAAAATACGATCTAAATGTAACCTTTGATTTCATGTGCGTATTAATAAACTTTAAAAGTTACAATTTAGGACCACACTCAACAGTGGCGCCATCTGGTGAGACAGAAAACGGTAGCCCTCATTGGCAACCAAGGAGGCAGGCAATCTATCAAAAGTTTTATTTAAATTTCGAACTGAATGCAAATAGAAAGCTGTTTATTGAAATAAACAAATGAATGAGTGTTTTTGTTCGTTGTTCGAAAAGTTGGTATTGAATTTTAAATTTATAAGTTCCGCCTAGGTAATACTTAGTTTTAATTACCGCGCATTATTTGAGAAAAGTACTATACATGCCTTGGCCTCAACTAGGCATTGATGGACTTTACACGTTCGCCCATCAATGCCTCTTTTGTTGGCCGCTGCAGTTATGTACAATTATTTACTTTTACTGTTACTTTTGGTAATATGAAATTGCGTTTTCAGTTCTAGACAATTTAATAATTATTAATTTTTATTAACAATCTCATGTCGATCTTTTTAAAGAGTACAGTGTTGTCCAATGTGTGATTAAATAATACGAATCGCAGAGTGCCACTGAAGCTTCACATACAAATCCCTTCAGTTTCCTAATTCAATTGATCCCTTTTTGTTCGGAATCACAAATAATCACATTTACAAAAAGGTCTTGGCGCGAAAGGTTTAACCCTTAACTTTATAAATGAATCAACAGAAGTATACGTACTTTCTATTATTATTAAATCCATTATGCGAAGATCTATCATGTCGCCGTCGGTGGTCGTTAACATTTGTTTTCGGCTATCTCGAAACCGCCAAATATACTTTCCCTTGAAAGAAAGAAAGAAAGAAAAACATTTATTGACGACATACATTAACAGTTACAATAAATAAACATAAAACATAAAACAAAATGTCTATCGTCAACTAGGCCCCACCTCAGCATAATGTTGCAACGGCAAAAATGGATTGCCGCTGCAACGCTGGTATTCTGGAGGGACCTAATTTGGACATCAAAGGACGGAGACACAAGACAATCACTTAATATACAAATAAGAGAAGTTATTAATATTAAAACAAAAAACTTAATCTAAGAGGCTGTGTAGGCTTAGCTCTTTGCCTTCGGACACACAATAAGAAGAGGGGGAAAAAGCATTATTTTTGTTATCCATTTTAGGGATTAAATTAAACAAAATGGAGACAAGACTACATGTAATGAAACCACGTCATCAGACCATTTTAAAACGTGGCACAGCATTACAAAAAAACATTTTTCATTATGAACCGGGCCGAGAAAATCACTCTACTCTATATTAGCATACTTGGTATAAATATATCAATCAATCAAAGATACAACATTCCCTTCTAAATACGACTGAATTTACTTTATGATGTACTGCACAAAGAGCTCTTAGAGTTTATTTATAAAGCGCATCTGTTAATGCTTTTGAATTACATAAAACGATTCCGTTTGTTAATGCCCCTATTAAACTACCGCGCGAGTTACATGGTTTCTATTTTCAGACTCGTCATAATAGCTTTTATTGCGTTCAGCTCTACCAAAAACATGTCTAGTAATGGCCTGTTTCTTTTGTTACAGATCCAAAAGAGTCACAATGGAGGAAAGGTTTTTAAGATTGCTCCTCGTATTGAGCTTGGCTGCGGTAACATTTGCCGGTGATTTCACATCCAACTGTCCACAAGAATGCAAATGTGTCTGGGCTAGCGGTAATAAACAAGCTGACTGTTCTAAATCCCACTTCGAAGAAATCCCAAAAACTCTTAGCTCGGACATACAAAATCTAGATCTCTCAAACAACGAATTATATGAAATAACGAGGTACGCTTTCGAAGATGCCCGATTGATTAATCTCAAGAAACTCATTTTGAGAGAATGCAATTTGAAAACGATCCATAAAAACGGTTTGAGTGGACTCGCAATCATGATCGAATTGGATTTATCGAAAAACGAATTGAAAACATTACATTCCGAAACTTTTAATGAAACTACGAAAATAAGATGGATATTGTTGAACGACAACCAGCTGGAGAAATTAGAGGACGGACTATTCAAAAATCTGAAGTTTTTACAAAAAGTGGAACTGAGTAACAATCGTATTGTCCAGATAGAGATGAAAGCTTTCGTCAATGTGCCGAAATTGAATACGTTGAGTTTGGATGGCAATAGACTGGAACGGCTAAAAATGGATACTTTATCTGCTTTGACATCTCTATCTAACTTAGACGTGCACGATAACCCTTGGAGGTGCGATTGCTATCTACAACCTTTTAGAAACTGGGTTATCAGCAAGCATCTGTACACTTCACCCATATCTTGCACTGAACCAGCTAAAGTGCATGGGAAAATGTGGAAAGAATTAGATTCTAGTGATTTCGCTTGCCGTCCTAGCATCGTATATCCCTCCACCAGTACAACACTTCGTTCTGCCGATAGTAACATTACTCTATCGTGTCAAGTTAACGGGAATCCTCTTCCAGACGTCAACTGGGTCTTGAGCTCCCAAATCATTGATGGCTCTTATAAATATCAAGGCGAACTCAAATACCACTTATCTGAGAGTAATTATGAAAATAGTAAATGGGTTAATTTGACTATTATTGATGCCGGTACCACCGATAATGGAGAGTATTTGTGTGTTGCTAAAAACCCTGGCGGAGTTGAAGAGAGGAACGTAACATTAGTAGTTATGCATCCTGCTATACATGATCCTGTAATTCCAACTGGAATGGACAATAATATGTTACCAGTTCTAATAGGAGTGTCGTGTACAGCGGCAATATTGTTAATAATTCTAGTCATTTTATGTTACTGTTGTTGTAAAAGACGAGGCTCGGACAAGATGAAAGCTGATGCATCAAATGGAGAAGCCCTTATAGAAGGATCTGTTATACCAGAAATGGAGAAAAGCTTGATAACCGCAGTCAACCCGGTGACAAAACCACCCAGACGATATGACGCACTCCCATCTATAACCAGTGGTGCCACTGAGATGTCGGAATTAAATAAGACATTGCTGGACAATGATTCTGTATTCGGTAAGTCAATAAACATATATTTTTTTTAAATCATGCTCTTTAGAGAATAAAAGAGAAAAAGTAGGTAAAACAGTCAAAGGACATGGCTAAGAAACTGCCCTTAGCGTGTATAAATATTTTGCACTAGCCCGTAACTTTAGAATATTTTTTTAGAATTATTACGTGTTTATTATTCTCATACAACTTTCGTGAAATAATCAAATATTTAAAAGTATAAAAATTGACAAGCAAAATGTTCCATTTTACAAAATAAATGTATACAAAAAATATTTGTGTAAGTATATCGAAATAAACAATATTATTTGTAAAGTCCTTCAAACTGTGACATATTTGGCCCTAATTTTTATTATAATAGATCACTGAAATCCTAAAATAATAAATATTATTGTTTTGATCAGACTTGAGACAAGGCTATATGATAATTTATCCTTTAATTTTTGCAAATGGACAAAATAAAACTTCACAGATTTCTTATCAGGCCGACGATAACAAACTATTTTTGCTTAGAAAACTTTTTGTGAAGAGTTAATCACAGAAATGGGAAGAAAAATACAAAGAAAATGCGAAATTGATGGCTCAGTAAATAATTGGCAACATCTTTTATCAAATGTGGTAAGGTAATGACATAGTATGAGTTCTCATAATTTTCAAGATTGTGACATCAAAAGTTCCTGAGCCTTTTTTCATAGAAATTATAAATATTCAGCCATTTACCATTAAATATTACTAAATATAATATTTATACATTGCCAGGGCAGTCGCTCATACAAAACTTTACCATGTCCTTTAGGTTTAAGGTAGGAATTTTATCAAAATGTTGCTCTTTGTTGCATGAAAATTTTATAAAGATTATCCTATATCACTTGGTAAAGTATTGATTAAAATGATACTGACATTATACTACTTTCATAAATGACAGATACTTAACGATAAAATGTTATTGACATTCTGTATACATAAGGGAAGCTTGCAGGGGATTCGCTTATCATATGATAAGCTAGTCTGTTCCATGTTAATTTTACGATAAGTGGCAAACAGTATTTAGAACGGTTTATCATATTGATTTTCTAATGATCCAAGTTAAAATATTTATTTCTTTGTTTCAGCGCACAACGATGATGAAAAACGATCTTTAGACTTCGAACATCCATCAAAACGATCTCAAGACGCACTGCATGTTGAATATGGACGGACTCCAGATTTATTGATCTCATTTCCACCAAGGGCGACACAAATCTCTCCCGCAGCGAGTAACGCGTCCACTGTACCTGACACCACAAGGTTACCAGCTCAACTAAACCCAGTCAGTCCAATACATTCACCGCTACAACCTATCTATGGAATAACTAATAACCAAAACTTCAGAACTCTTCCATATTCACGTTCGCAGTCTCCATTCATTGCGCCTATTACCCCTCCGGTAATAACACCCCGACAAGGTTATGTGACTATCCCAAGGAGACCAAGGGTTCCCAGTTGGTCTAGCACAGCTAGCACTCAAATACTTCCTAGCACAGAGGCACAAGAACCCTTATATGATAACCTTGGATTAAGAACGACAGTTGATGGGAGTTCTGTACTATCCCTGAACAAGGCCGGATTAGAAGGGCAATTTTCACCTATGCGAAATAGACCACTGCCAGCTACGCCTACTGCATATTCTACTCCGCACCAAGTGTACTACGCTCCTATAGAAGAGCAAGAACCATCGCCATCACCCGTACATCAGTACATGACCAATCCTAGAAACAGCATTGCATCTCAATTATCTAATCAGGTCGCTACCCCAGCTCCGCAAGAACCTATTAGTCCACGGATGAGTTGGACAGCCAAAAATACTTCAACACCGCATACCGAGCCGAGAAAAGCTTTATTCTGCACAGGATCTGATACTCAATCACATGTGTCTGACAGTAGCACGTTAAGCAGGCGAGGAAAACCTGAGACGGGATCATTGAGGAGAAATCCGAAAACGGAGAATGGAGAACCAAAAACTTCGCCCATTAAAGGTTTTCCGATCAAAGAGGATACGATGAAAAATGATGCAAATGTGTCTCTAAATCAGTCAGGTACGTTAGGGCGTAGTGGAAAGATACCACCCAGGCCTCCACCAAAGCCGAAGAAAAAACCAGCGACCGAGGTCAACTCCAGCGAACCTCTGTTTGAAGATGAAGGCGAGGATGGTACGGAGGTTTAGTATTAAATGCTAGAATCGAAACTTTGAGGTTACGGATAACCAAAGTGCCAAGCTTGAAGTTATGTCTCAAACAGTGATATCAGTGAACTAAGACGATGTGCAATCGAAATACTATTTCTCTTTGCGGTGTTCGTGTAAATATCGGTCGTGCTAGATTTTATACCTATTGCGTACAATTAGAATCCCATGGACCATTTTTAAGAGTTTTATGTAAACGTTTATTGTAATTAGCGGACCTACATAATTAGTTAACACGACAATGTACACTTGACTTTCATGTTTTAAGTATTTATTATAATTATGTGGTTATTATTTTAAGTTTTTTTTAAGTATAATGCAATTTGAAAGGGCTTTTCACTTGCCATTCGTTCTGCAGTGTTCAAGACTGATTGTTCAAAATTTGACAGTATGATTTGACATTCCCTTATGATCGATCGGATGAGACCGGTTCCAGTAAAACTTTTCATAGTTTTGCTAGAATGAGTTCACTAAAGCTAGAATATTTGTGGAAGACTGATATATGATCGTTAGTCGCTTTAAGACTATTGATTATGTCAATAGTCATTTAAGCGTGTTAAGTTGGTATTCGTTATATCTAATCTTCATCGTTCTTTTGTTCTTCATTCATTCGTTGTCTGTACACGGTGCATTAGTGTTTATGTTATATCTACCAATGAAAATTCAGTTCTTTGTTTATATTTAAGCAGTACATATAGTTTTTTAAAGCTTACCCTAATTATTTGAAAAGAAAATCTCTGAGGATATGTGTAAAACTGTATTATAGGGTAAAACAGTCTAGTAAAGATTTTGTATAATAACTATATCCGATAAATGCCTCGTGTATGGATATACCTATAAAAACAAAGATTTTGATAAAGCATTTACGACGATTTATCATTTGACGACCTCCGTGGCCGAGTGGTTTGTACGCCGGGTTTCATGGTGTCGCCGACTCCAGAGGTCCCGGGTTCGAATCCCGGTGGGCGCAGATGTTTGTGTGATGAATACGAGCATTTGTACTCCAGTCATGGATGTTTAATATGTATTTCTATATAAATACACTTATATATGTAAAGTATATGTATTCTATCCGTTACCCTAGTATCCCATAACACAAGCCTTATAGTGCTTACTTTGGGGCTAGGCTAATTGGTGTGTGTGTTGGAAATATTTATTTATTATTTAACATTGATATTCATATCAATAGATGCAGCTAAATAAATTCTGAAATCATTCAAGTTCTTAAATGCCTAGTCAAAATCTGTATTTGATCATTTACTAAAATATTTAACTTCGCCTATTCTAAGTTAATATCATTTTAGTAGTTACTCTTGATTGAGGCTGTATTGTTTTGCCGGTTTAAAATTAACACAAACATTGTAAAAATCTATAGATTAAATAAAAAATACATACAAATAATTTTGTGATGGACACGCATATAGTTCCTAAACATTTTAAGTTGCTGATAATTACACTACATACTTAGTAGTGTCGTTTCATTAGTTTAAGTACCAATTACGTTGCTGCCACCGATGGTGCTTATTTTACGAACATTTTTAACGCAATTTTATTTATTGTAACATTTTTTAGTTATGTTTAAATATAACCCGAGGAAGTACAGTGCTATATTATGAACTTGACTTTCGCATTTTGTAGTTATGTTTGCATATTATTATGTGCTCCGTTGTTGTGGTTATTTTCTCCCAAATGTACAATGTATTCAATTTTTACAATATTTACTGTAGAAATCCAGTTTTATAGTTATAAGTGCTGTGTATATAGAATCATTATTATTAAAAGTGATTAAAGCTATATTTCAGTACGTTCTTGTTTTTATTTCCTTCTTGTGTATGATTTTTATTCTTGGTCTTTAGGACGATTACAAAATTAAAGTCATGACAACCCATACAGTATCTCTTATCTATTAGACAAGTCCGTCCGTCCGTCCGTCCGTCTGTCTGTGGTGCTGTTTCAGCGGCCAAACTGTAAGAGATAGAAAAAGAGAATGTTTAAGTTATATGTTAAGAATAGTCTGATAAGACTACAAACCGGATTTGAGTAACGTAGCACTTCCGGTTTTCGAGAAATCACGAATTTCAAACGAAACCACACAAAATCTCCGAAGTTCTCAATTAATTAAATACATTTTTGGTGAACATTTGGTTCACTGGTTTGCTAGTATCTACTAATGTCATTGCAATTATCATCAGCCTATAAATATCCCCATTGCTGAAGAACACAATTTATCTATGGACGGAACACGGAGAATGGGCCAGGGTCTCTATGCGAACCCATTTGGGATTAGTATGTGCTAACGACTACAGATAGCGGAAAACTCAACATGATCAATAATATAAAATCATTTTAATGCCAAGCTTTGAAATAACTCAAGTCTCTTGAGTGCCAGTTTCATTAAGATTAAGACTAGAAACCTTGGACGAAGAATAATCTCGTTCGGATACCATCGTCATGTCTCGAATTGAGGAATTGAAAAAAATAAATGACGATCGACAGTCTAAAAATAAAATATAAAAAGCTGCCAGTCACGGCCGTAAACTTAACAAACCAATTTAAGACGAAACAAAAGAGCCCGAGTTCACTGAAAGCATCCATTGTATTTCTGGACATAAAATATTGAATGGCCGTATAAAAAGAAACTAAGAGAGTCATGTTGTGTGCCCTTCAAACATTGGGTAGTAAAATCACGGTTTTTGGGTCACGGTTATTTTATATCATTTTGTAACGTACACGTTATGTCGCGCCATATCCCATAGGGGTGACAAAGGCAATGTTGTTCACACTGGACATTTGTGGCGTGATTTGAAGCAAAAATAATGGGCCTAGAGATTTGATTAACTCTTTTGCATTGCTGTTACACCGCCGTACATGAACTGAACAGGACTTTAAAAAAATACTGTCTATATATATATAAAGAACGTGATTCGCAACTAATAAATTACTCTGGTTTTGCTGATTAATAATTCCTACCTCGCGATATACACCTCACGAATGACTTGAATCTTGTACATCTGTGCTTTGTTATTTCTTGCTTAAATACATAACTCAATTACAACTTTCGATGGCCATATTTATATCGAACGAGTATAGCCTTAGAATAAAAGGGATTATTATTTCAGTTATGTAGTTATCTACTAATGGATAGTATAGTTTAGCACTTTTGCTAAAAACATTTACTAGCGATGCGCGACTTCTAATAATACTAATACAATCATTCGACTCCACGAATCATTCGACTAAGTCGACTGCGCTTTATATCATTCGACTAGAGTCGAAAGTATCGGGCGGCTCGTGTCGCACGCAGCGATCCGCAGAATCTCTTATCTATTAGACAAGTCCGTCTGTCTGTGGTGCTGTTTCAGCGGCCAAACCGTAAGAGATAGATAAGGAGAATATTTAAGTTATAAGTTAAGAATAGTCTGATAAGACTACAAACCGGATTTGAGTAACGTAGCACTTCCGGTTTTCGAGAAATCAGGTTTTGGTGAACATTTGGTTCACTGGTTTGCTAGTATATTACTAACGACTAAAAGTCGGTCGACTAACCAACTCTCGACTGACTTACGTGACGAAGATGAACGAACCTAACCTAACCTTATTCGTTGCGCTCTTGTAAATTTGACATAAGTATTACTAATTAGTAGTCGTTATTCGAATAATGACATTAGTATACTAATAATTTGCCTTTCGAATAGCCAAATCAGTAGTTACGAATTAGTCGAAAGGTAAAAAATCATTCGTAGTCGCGCATCGCTAACATTTACCGTTATGCTTACGTCGATTCGCAATCATATAGAAAGATCAACAAGACCCTTCTTGTTAAAATAGTCTGTTGTCATATGTTCTTTTTTAATTACATTTTACGTCATCTGGAAGGAAATGATGTGAAAGATTCAAAAAACGTTGGTTGCCAGCTTTCAATCAGTCGCAACTTTTGGGGTTGCCAAGTGTAGACAGGTACATTAATGTTTTTGAGCTGGGAACCATTGTTTTTTGAATTTTTCACATCATGTCTTTTCAGATGTCGTAAAATATATAAACAAAAAAAACATGGATGCAAATCACGTAGAAAATAGATGTTACTAAATTGAATTAAAGGTATTTGCTGCAATAGTTTTAGGCAATCTGTCACAAATTATTTATATACATACTCACTAAACATTCATTTAAATTAAGTTTCGTAAAAAAACAGATGGCTGCAGAATTGAACGGCGAGATTTCAGGCTACAATTAGTTTCAAAGCAAAGGAGGTTGCTCAGCTATCATACATGTTTGGCCTAAAGACCAATAATCATGAAATTATTTAAGTGGGGACCGAGTCGCCCTCGTCCGTGGGTGTAAACCCCGAATTTTTTTTTTTTCCTGTTACCCCACACGTGGTCCCTGGGTGGTGCAAATCAGGCGACAACCCACTGGTGGTAGGCAATTGCCGAGGCTAGTGACCACCCACCGGACTAAGTCGCGCCGCCAAGCAGCCTAGCTGTGTTCCGGTGCGTAGTCCGGTGACGCCGTTTGGGAAGATCGGGTCGGAATGGTCGCTCCAGTACTGCAGTGCCGTTTTTTAGACGTACGCATCATTGTTGCATCGGGTAACTAGTCTCGGAGGGTAGCGGGATCCGAGGCACGGTGCACCGCTGGCCGACCGCAGTTAGTAGGGGGCCCAAGTAATGGGTTAGCCACTCATGAAAGGCTGCCCCGCCAACTCGCGAAAAATCCCGGGATGCGCCATCGTGCCGGTTGGCGACCGGACGAAAGGGCCCGATGGACACTCCCGGGGGGGCTCGGGCGTCCCCGCAGTCTCCGAACTAGCTCCCCATAAGATGCACAGTGTATGTGAGTGTCTACTGGTAGCGGTACTGAAGCCAAATCGTACATTCTACTTCCGTTTTCCCACCGAACAAATACTCACGATATGAAAAAAGGAAATAGAAAAAAGGTCCAACAGCGGCAGCACGCCCTTTCGCTCAAAGTGCACCTCACCAACATTAGAGGACTGCACTCAAATCTCGTGCCAGTCCACCACCATCTAGAGACTCAAAAACCTGCACTTTTTTTCCTTACGGAGACGCAGATAGGATGCCCGTCAGACCAGGCGTACCTTATGTACCCTGGGTACAATATTGAGCACAACTTTAAGCCCCGTAGTGGAGTGTGCTTATACGCCCGGGACGATATCTGCTATCGGCGTCTCCGTAATCTTGAAGACCCCCGATTCTCGGCTCTGTGGATACTATTGGACACAGGCATGGAGAAGATTCTGTATGCCTGTGTCTACCGGTCGCACACCGGAGACTTGGAGACAACAAGGCTCACTGAATACCTCGGTGAGGCGGCGGATTTAGCTCAACAAAGGTACCCTACAGCCCAATTAGTGTTCCTGGGGGATTTTAATGCACACCATCAGGAGTGGCTATTCCCATACCGGGTCACTGACCATGCCGGAAGAGAAACGCGAAAGCTCGCTTTAGCTTTAAATCTCACCCAGCTAGTCCGAGAAGCTACACGGGTACCTGACACTGACTCTCAAACACCTAATTGCTTGGACCTTTTGCTGACAACAGATCCAGACCGATACTCAGTGTCGGTTTCTTCGCCCCTAGGGAAGTCCGACCACTGTCTGGTGAAATCTGTGTCTGTCTACTCTCCGCCCGATCCCAGCCCTAGAGGCACCCGGAGAATGTGGCGATACAAGTCAGCTGATTGGGATGGAATGCGGTCGTTTTTTGCGTCCTATCCTTGGCAACCCGTATGCTTCACCTCTGGCGACCCATCAATTTGCGCGGATGCCGTGACTGAT